CATCAGTGGGGTACATCTTGGTGGTGTGGGCGACGAGGGGCCCGCTCTGGTCGCAGCCCAGCATGGAGTCCCGCAGCGCGCCCTCGCCGCCGCGGTAGCAGTGCGCCACCTTGCGCTCCGCCGCGTCCAGCGGGGACGGGATGTGTCGGCACACCATCTCCACGAAACCGCTGACAATACCATACAATAATACTAATAACGCTAAATCTATTCTAAATTAAACCCTAAGAAATATAAAAAAAAGACAATCTATGGCTAGAGATAGCGGCCATTAATTTTAATTTAAAAAAAAATATGATTGTCAACTAATTCATCGGAAAATAAAATAAGTTATGGAGTAAATTTAATTTATGATTCATCAAATAAGTAAAATAAGTGTCTTGTAGGGACTAATATTTTTTTCTGGCGTAGTATTTTCACTTACCTAAAATCGCCAAAGAAACGACTGCAAACCAGCCTCAGTAACGGACGGACGTTGAGTTTTGCTTCTTGCTTTGTTAACTTAATGCCTAACTCCGCGAGGACGGCTGGTAATGTGTCATCTACATCACCAACCACCTAGTTAAATGATAGCAAAATTACATTATAACATACCATCATCAGCCTACTACATATAAATCTTCACTTAGGGGCTCAGAGCTTACCCTAAGTTAAGACGACATACCTGTGCAAAAATTTTGTACAAAGGCTCCAGTATAAATTCAACAAAGCTTCGCTGCGAAGACGCATGCGGTGACTTCTTTGTGAAGCGCCTCGTCTTAGCATTGAAGTAAACATCTCCCCACAGCCAGGCCGCCATATCGGAGGCCCGCAGGCCGCTACTGACGTGCGCGGATGCATACATTGCCGCGAATGACTCCAGAGTAAAGCATACATCATATAATGATGATGCAAAACAGACATTGCCTAGGAAAACCAGAGAATAACTATTAAATACATCTTGCTTTGACCATAGAGGTATCGAAAGTCTACAGAGGCTATAAAGGAAGAGCCCAATGGATATCGCAGAAATTTAGTGTGAAAGAACACATTAGCTACTAATTTTTTTTTTCAGCCTGGACGAACTTACGTGCGACAGCTCGTTATTCCATATAGTTATAACTTCTTAACATTTTAGTTAGATTTTTTTATTACATACTTAACATTGAATACTTAAGAAAGCTTATTTTGAAACTAAATAGGCTGGAAAGACTCATTTGATTATGAAGCAATTGACAACATAACTTTAGATTTAAGTAACAATTACCTAGTAACGGTGAGAATATGGTTGGTGGTTCATCAGGATTATCTTGGGGCTGGTTGGTTTCCACCAATGAGTTAAGCTCATCGATGATATGCCGTAGCTTGTAGTAAGCATCCGCGGGGGGTAACTTCAACTCAAGTATGAGTCTGTCAATTTTATTGATGCATATTGTGAGTGGCACTCGCTCTTGCACTGCATGTCGCAGGAGACGTTCTGTGTTAAGCATTATACCTTCTGCAGCATCAACAAACAGTACAGCACCTGTAAATATATATTAAAACCATTAGTACAATCTTACCAATATAATAAATGCCAAAGTTTAGATGGATGGATGTTTGTTAGAAGGTATCTCCAGAATGATTTAATGGATCTCAATGAAATTTTTCACAGCTACAGAACATTCTCAAAGAACATATGGGCTACTAAATAATTTTTTTTTATTTCTTTAGTTCTGCCAGGACACAAACAAAACTTAGCAGGATAGTTGATTTGCTCTTTGTTATCATATGTAATATGGTGTTTTTACCCACCATCTGATATCCTCAATGCAGCAGTAACCTCGTCACTAAAGTTCACATGTCCTGGTGTATCCATTATGTTTAGTAAATGTGACTTCCCTTTGATGTTCTTTAGCAGAAGTGTGACTGGCATGGACTTGATAGACACACCTCTCTCTTGTTCCACAAACAATGTGTCTGTGTATCGCATGGGTATTGTTGTTTCATTATTTATTGTACCTGGGTGAGTCTGTCTGATTAAACAGTCTACAAATGATGTTTTGCCTGAAAAAACACAATAAAAATGGTTAAATACACTTTACTAACGCACTTTGTTTTAATACATTAAGTGTTCATAGTAAAGTACCAAAACTACTACTCTACCATTGTGCAAGTGGCCCATCAATGTGATATTCCTCATTAAATTAGTGTTATCTAACATATCTGCCATATACTCCATATCATATGTGGTCTCCGGCAGCTGCTGCTCTTGTACTTGGAACTTTTTCTGCTTCACTGGCTCCACTAGAGGTTTGTCCAAAGCTTGTGTGTCCTCTTCTTGAACCACTGTCTCTACATCTGGACCATACACTTCCACGGCTTGCGGATAATATCTACAAACATTGTTAGGCAAAGAGTTAATGTTTATTCAATGTTTTTAACAAATTAGTAAGAGTGTACTTTACCTTTTGTCTTCGTGTAAGACAACGGACATTGGAGCAGCTTCGGGCTCCGCATCACCTTCCTCATCTTCGTCCATCGCATCATCGTCAGCATCACGATTATCCTGGCCGTAAACACTCTGCTCATCGTCTGAATCCGACTCCAAGTCCGGTCCGATGTAATTACCGAACTCATCATATAGATCGCCGTCCATATTTCTATTGGTATCAATTAAGTAAAAGTGTTCAAGTTCAATACAATCAATATCGTATAAAAAATATGTTTTTCAATTTCTAACCAAACCTGACCAAAACAATTGAAAACTATGATACCGGAATTTGAAAGATAACCTACAAACAAAATATTAACATTTACAATAGACAATACAAGTAGACCGATTAACCGACGCAAAAGCTGTTTTGTCGCATATCATTTGTCGTATTAATTAACAAAATCTATAAGCAAATAATTTTCTTCAAACAAAATATTATAAAACCAAAATCATTTCTTAAAAAGAAAAACTGTGTGAATAGAAACGCAAAACTACAGAGTAAAAATAAAATGACTTTTAAATGTCAGATGAACTGGTCTGTAAATCAATCTTTTTCAATACAAAAATGGCTGCAGTACAACAAAATTTATCAAAAATGTTATCAGCACAGCTGCGTAATAAAGCAAATGAGTTTTTGAACTCTAGAAAACATGCCAATAATGTTGCTGATATCTTACAAATGTTTGATGTAAGTATACGCTAAGTTTCATAGCGTAAATATATTTTACAAAAATGATGTGTTAGGTTACGTTTCTACATTAGATGTTTAATTTCTTAAATTTCAGGTCGAATCTGATAATTTCACGCCGCTTTTACTCACTATAGAAATGATATTTACTGAACTATTAAAAAGAGGCGATTTGGTACAAGAAATCGTCCCATTAAAACCTATAGGTATGTTGAACATCTATACAATTATGTCTATCTTAATAATATTGATTTTGCGCGCATAGCTGCCGTCGGTGACGCCTATATTTGCGACTTTACGTCATTACAGTCTAACATATGTTTGTTATCTGAAATTGTTATTTTGTGGCTTAAATGCAGAGTTGCATTTTGTAACATGTGACATTCCAGCCTTATGTAAAGGTTGACGGACTTGCGAACGATTTGTTATTGCAGACTGTTATTACGGTATTGTTTTAACCAACTTTACATAATTCATAATGGAAAAAACCTAAACACATTCTTAATGATTTATTTTCAACATCATTTTTACCGATGCTGTGCTTGTTTTGTTTTTATTTTTAGTCTCGTAACATATATCTAGTTTCATAACATGACATGTTAGACAACACATTTGTCTACCTACAGCAAACTACATATTTATATCTATTACTGCTTAACACCTTAGGCGCCAAGTGGATCTTTTTGCCACACAGTGTCTAGAACACTGTGTATGTGGCCTGAGAGGTACGAATTTCAAATGAACTATTTCCCAAGCCACATGTATCTAAGTGTCCATGGATAAAAATCCAAGGAAAAAAGGTGAAAACGAAGGTGAAAAACAATATGTGATATGTTATGTGTGTTAACCAAATTCCAACAAAAAAAAATATTGTGTTAATTTTTAAACACTCACTTGGGGTCTGGCGCTGAGGGTGTTAAGTAATCATAATGTATGTGTAAATAACATTATATGAAGTCCATAAAGTGAAACTTTTTACTATTATCTTTTATTTTATGCTTAGATCAAAGTCCGGAGGCAGAATACAAGAGATGGTTGCTGGAGTGCTACGAGGCCGCACTGGTGAGGTGTCTGGAGTGCTTGAGGCGTGGTCGCGTCAGCTCCCGCCTGCAGGCGCTTGTAACTGCCTGCAAGCTGCTGCAGGCTGAAGGGAGATATCCTTTAGAACCAACTAATGGGTTTTACTTTCCATCTGTGCGTTTGAAGGTGTGGAAGCAATACTTTTTTGATTAGTTTTTTCATTAAAGATGTTAAATGCATATTGTAATATATATCATATAATTATCTTTTTAATTTTATTTTCAGAATATATTTATTGTGCTGCTTGACTCGGAGATATCAATGTCAGCACTGATAGCACGCTTCCAGGAGTTCACAGAGTATAAAGATGTGCAGCAGTATGGTCTAAAAGTGCTCTCCAGTATTGGTTATAAAAAGTAAGTTTTCTTTACAATAATTTGTTATATAATGTTTGTCAACAAAATGTTTTAATTTTTATGTGTTTTTTTGTATGGTCCAATTTATGTAACAAGTATAAAACTAGTATTATATTGTTTTTGTGGTTAAAACAATTTGTAAATTTAGCCAGATATCACCTTATTTCTAAAATTGCAAATCATGTATAAAACTTTCGTACTTATTTTCAAGTTTGTAACTAAATACCTAAATAGATAGAATCTTATATTAGCGGTTTATGATTGTTGTTAAAATATATGTATTTTTTTAGATCACCATCATCTATCTACATGCAGAATTACTTGGAGCTGATGGACAAACTGCTGGCTGTGGAGATCCCCACGGAGGCTAAGAGTAAAGCCAAGGAGAGAGATGATAAGGAGGACAAGGTGCTGTGCGCTGTTGAAGGTGATTATACAATTAAATATTTGATAACCTGTATTATTTATACTTTGTAACTTGATTTAAGTATTAGATTTACTTGCATCAACATTAAGTTACATTTTTATATTCAACTTTCACTCGCGATTATGACCGCGTAGTATAAAAAAACAAAAGTATATAGCTTATGTGTTCTTCTAGACTATGCTCTACATCTGTGATACATCCCATTTAGATCCTTTCAGCAGTTTAGTCTACAAACTCTAACAAACATCAATCCATCTAAATTTTCGCATTTATAATATGAGTAAGAGGACTTAAACCAGACCAATTTCTAAAGTCTGAGTCAACCTTTTTTCTACATTGTAGACTTTGCCTACTAAAAAAATTTACAGCAGATTTATAAGCATTCCTTAGACTTTTTCGTTGTGTGTATAACATCTTCATATGGTTAGGCAAGACTAAGTTTGCATACCACCCGCTGGTGTGCCGGCGCCACGCCAACCGGTGCTGGGGCTTCGCGTGCCAGTGGTCGCTGTGCGGGGCGCCGCGCGCGCACCGCCGCGCGCTGCTGCTGCTGGTGGAGCGCCTCATGCCGCTGCTGGCCAAGCCGCACCTCGCCACTGATATGCTCTGCGACAGTCTTGATGCGGGTATGTCAGTCATGTGTTCATCATCCTTTTTTTTTACTTAAATTCACTAATAGCAAAGTGACATATGCCTTTGAACATGTGTTGCTTACCTTTAATTGGGAGAGGATTGCACAGAAATAGGATATTTTCAATTTTTATCTGTCCCCTCTTCCAAATTCACCATATATGTGACATTTTCTGGCATGCGCATTTGACAAAATTCAGAATTACATCCGCTTTACGCGTATCTTCTGTGTGGTCGATATGGACACAATATATGCCGGCTATTTTGTAAAAAGATTTCTTATAATAGAGTACCATTGTTATTTTACGGAAATAGTTTATGTCATCATCATCCACTTACCCTTATCCCTTACGGAGCGTCTGCACAGTATGTGCTGCTCGTCCATACATAAGCCGTCATATCTGAATCCACTCCTTTAGCATATCCTCTTTCACACAATCCATCCATACTTTCTTCGGACTTCCTCTACATTTGTAGCCATCACACTTTCTGGTTTATGTCCCCAGTTTATATATACTTTTTTTATATGAAGTGTGTGTGGTGTTCAGGCGGGCCCATCAGCATGCTGGCGCTGCAGGGCGTGCTGGAGCTGGTGCGGCGACACAACGTGTCCTACCCCGACCTGTACGACCGCCTCTACGCCATGTTCGAGCCGGAGATGTTCGCGACACGCTACAAGCGCCGGCTGCTGCACCTCGCTGATATATTCCTCAGCTCCACGTATGTACAGGCACCAAAATCTGCTTGGCTTTTACGACAAATTTGGTTATTCAAAATATATACTTGTTCGGAGTAAATCCGCTCAAGTGGCCGGCTTTTTAGGCCTGATGTATATATTGTGACCCATACTATATTGCAAGTTTTAAAATAATACAATAATGATTGATTTTGAGCCATTACATCGCAACTTATACACAAATAATCGAATTTAATCTAAGTCGAAAAATTCATCTACGCTTTTCTAATAAGCAATATATTTGTGAAATCAGCCTTATATTATAGGGTTATAATTTGTCATTTCTAATTGGATTATAGTAAGCCTAGCTGTTCCCATGCGACTTCGTCCACATAAAATTATAAAAATATCATTTTATTCTTTACATTTGTCAAATTATTAATTGCAAATGTGAAAATGTCATGACATTATGTCAAACCATGGCAATGTTGCTTCCTTGATGTTGGCAACAACTTATGGTCTCTTTCCCACATAAGGGTTTTTATCCAAAATATTTACCTCTAAGTTTAACGGTGTGAAAATATATAGCCTAAAGCGTGACGTAAGTGTAGGGCCTTTAATTAAAAAAAGAGTTATTCGAAAATATGCTGTGCTTGCTGACATCTTAGGTAACAAGGAAGTGTGTGTTTATACTTTATTATAATAGTATAGATAGGTGTGAATTGTCACGTGTGTGTGTGTGTGCAGTCACCTGCCGGAGGGGCTGGTGGCGGCGTTCGCGAAGCGCGTGTCGCGGCTGGCGCTGGTGGCGGCGCCGGAGGACGCGCTGGCGCTGCTGCAGCTGCTGGCCAACCTGCTGCTGCGCCACCCCGCGCTCAAGCGCATGCTCTGCTGCGAGGACACGCCCGCGCCGCCCCTCAGTCAGTAACATGCTACATACATATGAAATATTAGAAATATCATAATGTCCAGATAATTATAAGTCCATGATTATAGTGTTAAAATAACTGTCAGTCGGCCAATAAATAGAAGCTTAATAATGATTAAAAAATAAATTAATACTTATCGAGTAAATTTAATAAGCACAGAACAAAATGTAAATCGCAATAATATAGCTTACGATCGTGTATTTCTAATATCCATCTATGTAAATTGTATTTATAATATTAATAAGATTTATGTAAATTTTCAGTGTCTGGTGACCCGTACGTGATGGAGGAGACGAGCGCGATGAGTTCCCGCGCGCTCGGCTCCTCGCTGTGGGAGGTGTCCGCGCTGCGGCGGCACGCGGCCCCCGCCCTCGCCCGCGCCGCCGCGCACCTGCTGGCCGCCGCAGACCAGCGCGCCGCGCCCGCCGCCCTCGCCCCGCCTGACGCACAGGTCACACACACACAATGTCTCCTCAAAGAAAACATTAAGAGCATCGCCAACCGTTGCTCTAGGAGGGAGCGTATGATAGTTTTGTGGAGGAGAAAGACCTGTTACGTCACTACGGAAGTAGGATAAAGAGGAAGATGATGATGATGATGTAGTTCTATGGTTAATTACGACTTACTTTCTGTGAGTGCATAAAAGTAACTTAAATAAGAAAGAAATTAATTCATTTGTTATTCGAAAATGTTCAATTTCATTATCGGAGTATACAGCTTTGTTAACTGATGTATGTATTGACAGATGTTCGATGCGGAACTAAAGAAGCGCTTCAAGACGATAGAGATGAACTTCATCCGGCCGCAGGGCATGGCGCTGCCGGCGGACGACCGCCTGCACCACTACTGGCAGCTCACCGCGTGAACTACCCCCACCCTACAGGTGACGTCACACAACACAATTTGAGTTGGCACGTCCTGCAGACTAGTACTCCTGTAAACGACGTGCCAACTGAACTGCTACGCTTGAGGTGACAGACTATACAGACACATCTGACAAGAGTCAGCTTATTTCGTCAGATCTGTCAATATAGAATGTCAGGCAAACGTTTTCAAACATTTTATTGAGAAATTAAAAAAAATGAGTTTTTTTTGTGAAGGATATTTTGAAAATCATTGATGTTTTAATTGGTTGATGATTGATTTTAAAATCGTAGAATCAGTATTTGCATTAGTAAAAAATACAAAATTAAATGATCGACAAATTTTGATCATTCAATTTTGTTATGTTTAATGTGAATTTTGACATTCGTGTAATTATAACTGTATGAACTTAGTTACACTATGAAAAATACGAAAACATGAAAAAAAAAATAACCTACCACCAAATTTAGTTGACCTACTATTTTATGTTATTTATAATGAGAAAATTAAAAAAGAAAATAGGGAATCTTTAGTCACAATTCGTACAACGAAGTTTGTAATGGAAAAATTCATTACCACAAACAAAAATAGACCTAAAACTAAAATTTGTTTTCATAACCAACAACAAACAGTGAACTAGATAAAATCTGTTTCCGCCTCATTACAAAAAAATTAACGTTAGAATGTGTTTTTTTTTCTTACTTCTTTTTTTTTTTAATTCAATCTTATCTAATCATTGATCTATTGAACACTGGGAAGTTCTTTTACTTTTTAGTCTTTGATAAAAATGTCAGACTTTTTTAATCTGTGGTTCATATTTGAAAAGTAGTAAAAAAATCTTCGACGAATTGAAGCCTAAACATTTTTGTAAGTTTATTGTATTTATACTTCATAATATATGGGAGTTAATTTAACTTAAATAAAATACTAATTTATATCGATATAATAAGTATTAAATTGAATTTTGCACTCTAATGTTAAAGTAAATAGTTGGATAAGGTTTGTTGTAGTTTGGTTAATTTTATTTTTTTACGAAAGCCAGTGTACCAGTCTGTGATTCGAGGGTAAGAGTTTCTTCGCTAAAGTAAATCAGTATTGCTTTTTAAATAAAACTTAAAGAAATAAAAATGCAATATTAATTAAGATTATTTTATTACATCAAATTCAATTTAACCAAAGATGAAAATAACTACACATTTTCAATTTTTAGGTTAGGATTTTTGTCAAAATGGCCGTTGACGTAATGAATGTTGCCTGTTTGTTGTTTTTTCTTTCGTTAATTATAAAAAATATCGATGTGCAATAAATGTTATCTGCATTCTGCAGTTACGTTGATATGTTTATTTTATACAAAATCAATGCTGCTTTGACTTGGCGAATAAAATTAATGTAAAGGAATGAAATTTTGAAAGCGGTAATTGTAAATTAAACGAGCCTTAGCGCTCATATTTATTAAGTTGACATTTGTTTTTATCTTTCTTTGTTTCATTCCAGTTTCGTTTTAACCCGTTTTTAACCTTTATATGTTGTAAGATTGTTTAAATTAAGATTTTTATTGTGTTTAGTGTCCTCAGCGACGTAGATGGTATTTTTGACAGCAGCCATGTTGATTTAAGATTATTTTTATTGTGACCTCGCAGATAAGGGTGCGGTACAAATAGGAACTTGAAAGTTAATTTACAAAGATATGGTTTCATGCATTACAGAAATTGTGGATTGTCTTGATAAAGCACCTTTTTAGATTCTTATTGCAGTTTTTATTGTAACAAATATAATTGTAATTTATAGACTCCCAAGTGGAAAAGTACTTTATGTCAAATAAAAAATAAAACAGGATCTAAGGGGATATAAATTTATCCAATAATCTCATCAGAGATGGAACTTCATTTTATGGGTGGAAATTGTTATTTATTTTTGGATAATAAATACAAGTTTAAAAAGAAAAAATAAAGAACATCATCACAATCATTATATCTTGTTATTCATTTACTATTTGCAATATTTTATTTGTTTGAAGGTTGTACATTTTTTTACATTATCATTGATATTCTTGTTTAGTCTGTGAACAGGAATTTAACTTCAGACCACGAGTGATTAAGTGCGTAATAAAAATATAAAACATTTTTAATATAGAACGATTAAATATGAATGTTGAATCTCACAATGTACGAGTCCCCCCTCCCCCCACCCGCGCCCGCCGCAATATGTGATTATTTTCAAACAAAACTGTACTGTAAGCTAGTTTTAAGATTATTTTAAATATTATTCATTTGAACGTTCTATTAAATAAACGATATGGAGTATTTTTTATTGTTTTATTTCAAGAATAAATTCAACCCAGATTTGTTCCTAGGTCTTTTAAGCGCAGATTTCTGTCACTTCGTTTTTGGCAACGTATAAAGAAATGCAAAATAAAACCAATTGAAAACGAGTCGTAACCAATTTATTACAATAACAACACTAGGCTATATAGTAAAAAACCGTAAATAATAATTTCAATTTTATTTTTTTGGCACATGGCAACACAATTTAAGCTATATGCACAAATTATAAAAATAAATTCTCTAATATACTCGCAAGATAGGACTAAACATTGGAAGCTTTCAGTAGGAATCTAATGGCAAATTAGGACCTGGGAACACCCGCAAAATATTATTACTATGTCATGTTAAATTAAAATTACTCTAAATGTCGAATAAATCGATGAAAGGAGTTTCTTCATTAGGAGCCGCATTGACTAAGTCATAAGCAAATTTACGTATTCGTTTTGAGCAAACTAAATAAAATAACTACAAACATACAACACTAGGGAACTAAAACAACATTCTATGATATGTCTAATTCTAAATAACCTAAAAGTTTGTTCTCAATCCCTGACTTCTACACACGCAAAAATATCTATAAAAATATTATTCTTCAACATTAATAATTTACAAACAAATATGTTTTTAGGCAAACTTTTAATATTGCTATATTTTATGTCACATGCACGCCAAATATCAACAACTTATTTAAACCGAATAAACAAAAATTCCAATTTCATTGCGTTGAATCTTGAAATTTAATTCTGGTACTTGGCGTGTATTTGACATGAACAGATTAAAAAAATCTAAGCGGTTATCTTTTATTGTCTAATTTTGAGCCTCGCCAAATCTTTAAAAAGTTAAAATGTCATTGGTTCATAATTTGTTCCTGGCTGTCAGTGCTGGCTGACTTATGTCCGTGGCAGCAGGTGATGTGGGGGCTGTCCTCGCGCGCCACCTTCTCCTGACTCTCAGTCTTCTGGCAGCATGACTGACTCGGTTCAGGGACCTCGCTCTGAGACTTGCAGCACTTCTCCTCGGGAGGCGGCTCCTGCTTCTTCTTGCAACATCCTTGACGTTCCGTTCTCAGTAGTTGCACATCTTCTACGCTAGGGCTATCTTCTTTTTCACTCTCTGTGTGATGGCAGTGCGTTTGAGCGATCGCTTGGATCTTTTTGGCTCTGGCGACTTTTGAAGGGCATTTTTTGGCGCCGTAATAACATGTAGCGTTTGCAAGCTCGTTGGAAGAATCTCTGGAAGTGCTCGCAGGGAAGTAGTGGGAAGGTTGTATGCAGGTGCGCGTGCGGCAAATAAAGAAGTCGGCTTCTGAGTCCGTTGATGTGTTTAATAAAGGCGGCGTAGTATTATCAGCTGCAACAAATATTTATGTTAATAATACGTTCAAATATTAAATGTTCTGTTCATTAATTTCTACGTCTACCAACAATAGCATTGACTAAATACGATAAAAAAAGAAAATTAAAAGACCGTTATTTAACGGCTTGCACATCTACGCGGCCGACGGTAAAGAACTTATTGGTGCGTCGTATTGTTGTTCGACAAACAAAGCTGCTGGAAAATTAAAAATAAATAGTTAAACACTATAAAAAAAGAAAAAACAAGTTTTACGAACACATTGTTTTTAATATCAATGACTAGAAAGTGAGATTACTAAGGTTACTTATTAACTTTCACAATATGCAGACAATGGTTTGCCATTCATAGAGCAAGAAATTAAACAGATAGTCATTTTGTATTTAAGACAATTAATATATTGCGTTCAAACTGTTGTTTATTTTACAAAAGGTTATATTATTAATATCAACTCTATCACTTTGTAAGGCCTTGTAAGAAACGGGTGAATATACGTAATTGTTTACTACAAACATACCATATATTAATATAATCTAAAAATAAACGTATTTTAATGATGAAAAGAGCTAAAATTAAAAACATGCGTGATATCTAAAATCTCATACAAAACTTAAGTAAAGCCAATAATATACTACACTATGCAAACATAGCTATTACGGGTGTTGCTAGGATGAGGCAGTTACCTCCCCTTATATTTAGCTTAGATCCTCGGCCAGCGACGCCTATTCAGCAATTAACTACATTTGAATTACTAACGAAATAGGCTAAAAGCTAGCTTAAATGTGAAGGTAGGATTGTTTCGGGGAAGGTAAAATAATGAATACACTAATGAACAAGTAATGCCGTATATCCTGGTTTAATGTGGTACTTGTGTTCTCTCGGCTCGACGGCAACCGCCGCGTACGTGTGTCGCAGCTCGAGAGCATCAAGCTCCTTACACAGCTTGCCCTCGCACACCTCCCAGCTGCACTTCTCGCGCTTGCACCGCTCTTGCCCACGCAAACCCAATGTTAGTCATTTAATGCTCACTGGAACTAGCGCTGCTACTTACATCTAGCACCTTCATTCCACTACTGTGTTAAATTTGGCAAAGGAAAATGTACAATCGGGGAAACTGGCGGTGCTCCATTTTATAAATGCAATATCATTTATAGGTAATGTTTAATTTGATTGAGACGTCGCGGAACAATAACTTATAGGATGCAGTTTTCAAATTTGTCTGCACAAAAAGGAAGTGGTACGCGGCTAATTGATTTGTTTTATCATTATCTTATGAGTGACACAGCTACATAATTGGTAATATGTAAGAAAAGGCAGGGTTTGTCTTGAGTAACGAGGCAATATTTCATAAATGGAACACCGCCAATTTCCGCGACTGTACCTATAAAGAGGACGATGGAATAGGATTCTTGAAACGTGAGACAAGATAGATGCTAACACGACTTCTATGATTTTCACACAAATTGTAGTATAAAAGTGTATATCGCTTACCGGTGTCGTCACACTCCGGAGTGCAGATGACGACGCGCTTAGTGCGGAAGCACTGCATCTGGAGCCGCGTCAGTTTTGTACCGAACAGGAAGTAGCCTTAACACAGATAAAAAATTATATAAAAATTTAATACTTCAATTTCCCCTAACAAAAAGAATTGACGGCACTTTCGTAATATCGACTTTCTGACGTCACAAGTCTCACAATGTTAGTGAAGTGCATGTTTACCCAGCATCATGCCGAAGACGACAGCGAGCAGTAGGTGCACGTTGTACAACATGACCGCCAGCATCAGCAGGTAGCCCACCGTGTTGTGTAAGATGAACACTGCCGACTGCTGCAGTGTCACCGCCACGCTGCACCACACATCTCGTGTAAAAGTCATATTGGAGCTTATAAAATCTATTATTGAACTATTTCAAACAACAATTGCTGCAATATTATGAAAATTATTAACATAAGAAGTCATTAACACATGGGCGTGACCAAGAGTAGTAGGTTGCCCATTCCCCAGAAAAGTATCATAAAATTATTTGGAAAAAGAGAATATTAATGGTATCTTGGGCTAACATAGGCTAAATAATCTGCTGGCTAAGTCCAAGCATTTGTAAGATCATAAGGGTGAAGCTACATTAGTGGTGAGGCAATCGTGCAGTAATAAACACAACTGCATTGACTATACTAGTTTTGATTACATTACCGCACTCGCAGCGAGGCCCAGCGGCTGACTTGACCGGTGCTAGCGTTGCGGCTCGTCGTCGGCTCCATCGCGCCGCCCTGCTCGCTGTAACAATTACTCTTATAAACTACGTTTGCCTTTAGACAAAGATTTTACATAATATAAGACATTTACATCTCCTCATCTGTCGCTATTTTCGACGCGAATCTGAATTACATTGTTAATAATCTACGATACGAAGCAAGTTATACTAAATACGAAGGTGTAACTAAACAAATATCGCCGCATACTTAAATATCAAATGGAAATTACTGTTTTTTATTATAATCTATGTTAAAATCATCAAATCTACCATAATATAGATACTGTACAGGAATAGCAATATATGTTGAATTATCAAAACAAATAACATACGCCACCGTCGACCCGCGACGATGTGTGAAAAGTGGGTCGGCACACTTGGGGGGTCTGGGGACAAACGCATGCATTACAGACCATGTCTAGAACCAACTATTGTAGAGTTGCGGAAATCCGCCTAGACCACTTTAGGAAAAAATACCTTGTTCATTGCAACGAGAGATACTCCGCCTTCCTACAAATAACTAATTTGATAGCAGTGAGTACAAATGAAGGGATAATAGAAACTAGCCGTATATCACTGATTTTTTTTGTACAAACACATTTGTAAGCTACGTTAATTTTTGTTCTGCATCTCGTTTCAAAATGTTCAAACGATTGTAGCTTTCAAGGTGGAACACCGCCAGTTTCCCCGATTGTACATTAGAATTACGTTTACGGCTTTCAACCTTCTTTATACTACTGCAGTACATTTCTAAGAAAATAAAAAACTTTCTCTTAATATTATTCTTTTACATATTCCGTATAAAGTTGCTGTTATTTAAACTTAAATCTAACCTGCATTTAGGGTAACTTAACCATTATCTTGTAACAGTTTCTCACAGACTCGGGTGTTAAACTATGTCAATGTCACTCGAACATGGGCCGCAAAGTGCTCGCAATATTTCATTATATCCGCCTCATTTACTATTAAGAACGTTTGGTATTTCGTTTCGTACTATTATTTACTGTTCTCAACAGTAGCGGTTATTATCGTATATTATATTCTAATATACTCAAAATTGCATTTAGAAAATACCTATTTAGCTACGGGTTCCAAAAAAAAATGAGACCGTGTTTTTTTCGTATATCTAGTCGTTTATGTCTTTCAGTTTATTAACTCCTGGTATCTCGAGTAAAATGTTTATTTAATCTTTCGTTTTTCCACAGTTCAAACAGGTTTTGAGGTGATTAACCCCAAATGTAAACATGTAAAAACAACGGATATTTTGTTCCAAACCCCTAAATAGCAGTAAACAGTACAAATATCTCGAATTGATTACAAAACATATGCGAATAGAACTGAATAAACCATAAAAATGCCAACAATTACTTAAACAATCGATCACAATCATTGACATTTATTATATCTGTATAGAATTACAAAAGTTACTATAAATATATTTAATACCGGATCTAGAGACGGAAATTCCAGTTTATTAGAATGTAAATACAGTACAAAGTCATTGCAAACAGTTCATTGTTCTATTCACATTTGAAATGTAGACATTGTATTTAAAATGAAACAATCTATAGAATACGAGCTGTTGCCCGCGACTTCATCCGCGTGGTATTAGAAAACATACGAACTATATAAATAACAAAAAGCTACGTATCCCTCGGGAACCGGACACCCATGTATACTCCAGACTTTGCTTTACATCTGTGCCAAATTTCAATAAGATATGTTGAACCGTTGCAGAATGATCGAGTAAACATTAAAAAACTAAATTAATGAATCCCACGGGAACCCCAACTTATCCCGTGATAAAAAGTAGCCTATGCGTTCTTCCAGACTATGCTCTAAACCTGTGCCAAATTTCATGGAGATCCGTTCAGCCGTTTAGACTACAAACGCTAACAAACATCCATCCATCCATCTAAACTTTCGCATTTATAATATTAATAATAAGATAATTGCCTAACTGCCTAATACTGAAACGATATTTTGCTTTATAAGCACCGTTGAAAAACTGTCTGACGGCAACATTTTTGTTTGGCAAAAGTTCGGAGTTTAACAATGGCATCTTCATTGTTGAAAATTAACCATGATTCTTTTTATTAACGAACTCATGTCTTAATCATCTTCAGCACATAATACTTCCTCACTAAAGTCGGTAACTAATCCAAACGGTAACCAGGCCATATTTCGCTGGCCCACTGCGGGTTGACTTCACGCATATCTGCCAATGCCATCGCAGAATTAATATCCATATCTCGATGAATTTACATAATTCCTGTTTATATAGTAACTAAATTTTGATATTAGAAGATAATCTAATCTAAGAATACAAAGGCTTGACTATCATGAATATTTTACAATATAATAACGATACTTGCATCAGGATAATCTTGATAAAAAATTTAACATTCATAAACGATATAAAACATGTTTTTTTAAATAGTAAAAAACAAGAATTATAAAAATCTAGTTCGATACATATTTCGTTTTATTACAAAAATTAAAATGAACAGGCACTGTTGAGATGAGGTCAAAACACACTAGAGAATGGCTAAGCAAATCCAGTTTTTAAGCATAACGTTACTAAATAAAGTTTCCTTACGTGAAGTTACTAAACACTGTTATCGTTGTTAACTTTATCAGCCACGCTTTTCAATACGAAATTTCGGTCGATAGTGTTAATTACTTTAGAAATGTACTTCCTTTTAAGTCACCGTTTTACGATCCTCATATATGTTTATAGCATTGATAAACCCTTATTCCATTAAAGCAGTGTATATCAAACTTATTTCTTTTACCGCCCCCTTTGAAAACCAATGATCTTTCAGCTTTCAGTGCCCCCCTTTTTATACAATTTTAGTGAAATTTAAAATACTATATAAAATAAATGAAATTACAAATTATGCATCGCCCCCCTAACCTATATCAACACCC